ATACCAGGTGGCCTTCAGTCCTACCTGAAGTGGAAACCTTCCATAAGATATATTTTGCACTGACCAAATGCAAAACAGTAGCTGAATCAACATCAGGGAAAAAAACTACCTGCAGTCCTGCTGCACTTCATTAACTGAGAAGGGGGTTTATTTTTATCTGAAACTTCTAAAAGGTGCCTCTGATGGGCTTGGTTTCCTTGAGGGGATTCCTGAATAGTTTATAATATTTACTGACAAATATACTGGTTGAACAGGAAGGGTTAGCTCCTAAAACAACACTGGTATCCAACAGCAGGCAGGCAAGAATCTAGGCATTCTTTCAACCTGTAATGTATGCCCTACCTGGATGAGGGGAATCTTGGACACCTGGAGAAATTGTGTAGTCTTGCATGGCTCATCTGTCCTTGGACAGATAATTTTTGAGAAAACATATGCAGGAAGATACTCTACCAACTTTTTTGGAATGCAGTCAGAATCCAGAAACCTTAAGCTATATTAGGCTAGTGAGATTCTAGACTCTTTCTCCTTTGTCACATAAGCACAATAACACTGATCTTGCCTGCAGCTTAGTACATGTTTTGGTTGTTTGGCTATAATTCACATTTCTAAATCCATTTTTAGCAGTACAACATACATAGTGATAGCCATAGTGAGGAAAATTCACTAGCTTGGAACTAAACACTACAACAGAGTCTGTAATGAAATATTGTCCTTCAAAATGCTCTTGCTTAGACTGTAAATCAGCCAGTTATGTCTTCTTTCATAGTATTCTATTTCATTTTGCCTTTTTTCAACATTGCCCCCTAAACACATGCAGTTCTCCTTGTTAGAAGAGGTTGCTTTCTTTTTGTTCTATTTCTCAATTGTATTTTTTTTGTTCTGAAATAATCTTTATTTTTCCCTTATACACAGATATTTGCCCAGACATTTGCTAGTTGTGTATAGAAGTTAACCTTTATTTTGTAGGGGTGTGTGTGTGGAGAGAGAGATGTCCATGTGAGTTTTTATGCATAGAATCAGTTACTCCATAACTTCCATTTTGCTGAACTAAAACTTCAAGGTTCTCTCTCCATTTGTACTAGCCAATATTGGGAGTTATCATTTATAACAGCAACATCTAAAAGGGGACACGTTCCCTATCTGAGGGTTATGTAGACAATTATATAGACCAAATGGCTTTAGGTGGGTGGAGCTTCCAGTTCCAGGACTTGATCATTTTTAGTGCTGGATGGGATAATACTATCCCAGACAGACCTGGTACACAATCTGGGGATTCTGTTTGCTGAGCAGGTGGCAGTCATGGCTAGGAAAGCCTTTGTGGAACTTTGTGTTGTATACCAGTTGTGCCCTTTTCTGAATCAGGAGTCCTATGCTCAGTCACTCAAGCCCTGATCATCTCACACTTGAACTACAATGTACTCTACCTGGAACTATCCTTGAACAGTATCTGTCAGCTTCAGCTGGTGCAGAACCTAGTTGCGCATGCAGTTCTTGGACTACTAGGGTGGCCCATGTTACACTGCTGTTCTGCAAACTGGCTGTCAGTTTGCTTCTGGATCTAATTCAAGATGTTGGTTATCACCTTTAAAGCTGTTCACTGCATGAGTTCAGGTTGTCTGAGGAACCATTTCACCCCAATGGGATTAGCCCACCTCACCCATGCTGGCTGAAGGGCATGCTGGGTACATCATCTGCCAAGGAATTTCAGCATAGCGCCCACATAAGAGTACATCTACTCTTTCGATCTTCCAAAAGGGCTTGAGATCATAGCTGTGCTAAAACTGACCTGGGCTCCAATATGATTTGGAAGTGGCATTTTGGAAGTGACTAATGGATTAGATAACACCCCACTTCCCCCCTTGCACACTTTGCTTCCTCCCTCTCAGTCAATTTTATTTTAACCAAACTTTAAAATTTAAATTTAAGATCTCTATTGTTTTAATATTTTAGATTACATTTTAATTGAATGATTATAAGTCGCCTCTGGTGAGATGAACGGCATATAAGTTTAATAATAAAATAAAAATACTGCAATTCCTAATATTGGAATTTCACCAGAAGTGCTGAACATTACTTGTACTTTGATATGCATTCAATTAGAGCAGGGGTGTCAAACTCAATTTCATTGAAGGCCACATCAGCATTGCAGTTGCCCTCGGGGCCGAGTGGGTGTGGCCTACTGGGTGGGTGTGGATGGAGTGGGTGTGGCCTACAGGGTGGGCATGGCCAGCTCTACATCGTTCACGTCAAGGGTGCCTGTGGGGGCCTGGGCAAGAGTGGGACATATCTGAGGGTCTCTGGCAGAAGGGGGTAGGACCAGGGCAAGTGCCAAGCCATGGTCCACTGGAGGAGCCTCACTATTCCTCTCAGGCCATGCAGGGCGGGTTGGATGGTGGTGCGGGCTGCCCGGAGCCTTGGGCAGCAGAGGTCAAATGCCCAGCCCGGCCCTTGAGCACCCACACCAAGCCCAGCCCCACTTCCCCAAGGGGCCGCCCAGCTGCACTTACCTCCCCCTCGAGGCTGGTGCTGCATGCTTGTTCTCCTTAGCCAGGTTGCTCATGATGGGTACGAGGGCAAAGTCAGAGGGAAGCCCATTCCCTCTCCATGGGAGGAGACCCGGCTTTGTATCCAAAGCTTCCTTAGCAATAGGATGGGAGACCCCAGGATAGGCCAGGAGGAGGGGGCAAGGGAATGGTGAAAGGGCTAAGGCAGGACTTCCCTCAGACCCTCCCTCTCCTTCTTTCCTTCATTCCTTGCTAAGTACAGAGTGGTAGGAAAATATTTGAGATGAGGGAGGGAGAAAAACAGGCAAGAAACGCAACTGGGTGTCACCCTTCGTGAGGAATGAAGAAATGCACCATCGCCTGGAAGTGGCCAGCACATGGCCCTCACCTACTTCACATATCTGGCTTGGTGGGCTCTGGGGGAGGGGATGTCATGAGCAGCGTGAGAGTCAATGTTACCTGCGCAATGCCACCCAGCCCCTAGTCTCGGCAAGCAGCGGAGCGCTCTCCTCACAGCGCCAAGGCTGCGCCGGGTGGCGCAAATCTAAAAAGTGTGAAGCCACCCAGCTCCCAGCCTGCCCAGTTTCAACAGGCAGCGGGGCGCTCTCCTCACCAAGAGTGCCAAGAGCTGAGCCAGGTGGTGCGAATCTGATGAGAAGTGCAATGCTGCCTAGCCCCCAGCCTGCCCAGTTTCAGCAGGCAGCAAGATGCAAAGCTGGCGTGCTTTGCACCACCCAGCTCAACCTCTTGGCGCTGTGAGGAGAGTGCCCGCTGCCTGACGAAAGCCCTCCCCCAGAGCCCATCAAGCTGGATATGTGAAGTAGGCGAGGGCCATTTGCTGGCCACTTCATTCCTCATAAAGGGTGACACCTCCCCAGCTTGCACCCAGGGGGCGGGGTCGATGCGGCAGGGGCTGGTTCCTCGCTGTTTTCAGACGGCCTTGTGGAGCTAAGACTGAATGTGTTTCAGCATAGATGGCCACCACGAAATTGTACATTGGCTCCCAGCCAGCCTGGGCCAGGGCCAAGGCAGCGGGGGCCGTTCCCTCACTGTTTCCAGGATGACTTCACGGGCCACATGAAACCACTTTGCGGGCCGCATCCAGCCTCTGGGCCTTGTGTTTGACATGTCTGAATTAGAGATAGAACTGTGGGAAAAGTATCAAAATTAAGGCACCTTCAGTAGTAAAAATCAAGGTGGGCAGAGGAAGAAAGAGTGAAGCTTCTAATGGAAAGGACAGAATTTTTGTTGCTGTTGTCTTAGTAAAGAGTTCCCAAAATGGTCAAAGACTTAAATGTACTGTAGACCCCAGATGGTGCTTACAACATTAGTTATTCATGTTAAAATCGAGGGCATGGACAAAAGTGAACAGAAATACAAATAAGTCATGTTGTATTTACGGGTCAAAATTTATTCCTGTCCATAGGGATATCCCTTGTGGGATCTTTCCATAGTGCTTAGGGCCTATGCTTATATTCATTTTAATAAATATTGCTTTGCTTCATTTTAAGTGAACAAAATATTCTGTACTGCATATGGCATTAATGGCACATAATAAATGAAACAGCAGCTGCTTTGTAAGGTTACATGGAAGTGAAAAATAGAATCAGACTGCTCTATTAGACTTAGATGTATCCTCAAAGGATGGGGGAATGGTTTCATTTACATAGAATGAAAATAGCAATAAGCTTAGGAAGTGACGAAATGCAAAACTAAGAAGGAACTATTTTGGCAATTCTGTACATATGCTATATAATTACACAGTAACAGAAAAAAGCTGACTAAAATCTTGAAGATTTGCCTTCTCCTTCTCTGGGGTCTGGACTCATGAGAGCAGCAGGGTAAGACTGAGAAACTAACCTTTTCAGAAATGAATTAAGAAGTACTTTAACAGATTAATGGGCCAATCACTCTTGTCAAATAGGCTAAAGAGTTAACCATGAAATTGTAGGGTGATTTACCAGATAATACAGAACACTAGAATACAAAAACTCCTGGGTAACTGATTATTCTTTGGCTTTTTAATGTATAAATTGATATTAACAGAGAATAAGAATCAAGGGTGATCATGGAAAAGGAGAGCGTGTTTTTTTTAGTGTCACATAAAGTTCCTTAATATATATTAATGCTAGTAATATAAGCAAGAAAAATCACAAAACCAAATATAATCATTTATAATAATTTATAACAGCAATTAAACCAGGAAAGCAACTTCCTGATAATAATACTGTATCTTAAAATAAAAATCTGTTACTTTGCATTTGAATAGTAAAAGAGTTCTAGCTATTTTGAATGAGAAAAAGTGTTTGATATCTCTGTATAACTGCTGTAATCAATTATCACAGTAAATTCTCTAATGAATTTATGCTTCAGTACCCCATGTAGCATCTCAGGAGCCAGTAGGTTGACATAGCTAAATTTATGAATGTAGGGGATTGAATTCTAACCCATTTAAATTTTCCATCCATTATTTACATAATATTTCTTCATTTAAAGGAATGAAAAAATCATTGATCTACAGTATGAAGAAGATGTACAAAATGTCAAAGGGATGGTTCAGAAAATCATGACATCTGTGAAGTTAAAGCTTTGAAAAACCTGATCTTGTGACTAAAGGATATTCTAATTCTGTTTTTTACATCACTTTGGAAGACAAAGCATCTTCTTCAGTTTGGAGAAACTTTGTTGTATTATTTATTTTCAGACAATTTTTCAGGGAAGATAACAGATTAAGATTAAATCTTTTTTTTCTGCTTCTTTGAAGATTATCTGGAATGATTTTCTCCTATACTTGTTAACATTTTTCTAACTTTTTCACAGACAGCTTGTTTTATATGTGTTGTGCCTGTAACATCTTCAAAATGTCCCTGTTTCCAAGGCCTTATTTTTTTTTTTAATCACATTTGGTTTGAGAGTTTTGTCATCCTTCTGTTTTTGCATTATTCACTTTACCGAGAACTTGCAATGGTCTTGTCGTATAGCTTAAGAAACACTGAATAGCAATGTGCTGAATTCTTTTGCTTCTGGCACTTCTGCTGTGTAGACACACATATCAAGTAACTTTGAGAAAGGTCAAAGTTTGATATGTGCTTTCCAGGCACGGTTGACATCAATATAATTCACAGCAAAATATTGGTGAGTAGGTCATATTTCAAAACAAGGTCTGGTTATTGTTGAGTTCCTGGGATTAATAATAAGTTGATATATATATAATGAAAGAGTTCTGTTACACTACCAATTCACAAAATGCTTTTAACGTCAGACTGTACAATCTCCAGGTAGCCCGACCAGGCTCAATAATACCTAACAGATAAAATCAAAGAATATCATTTTCCATCAACATTTTAGGTTGCTTTTCTTCCTCAATACCCAACGCAATGAACTTTGACTACTGGATCATAAAGGAAAGCTGCCGGATTGGTTTTCTAAAATATAAGGCATTGGACTAGGAGCGAAGAAAACTTAAGTTTTCATCCTGCCTTAGGCATCAAGGCCAACTTTGGGTCACACTTTCTCTCTTAACTCGAGAAAGAAGGCAAGAGCAAACATTTCCAAAACACGTTAGGAAAATTGCAGAAATTAATGTATGTTCTTATTAGAAGTCAAGACTAACTCAATGGTACAAGAGGGGAGAAAAAAGGAAAGACATATAACTATCATTTTATTAAAAGATTTGATTTATGAAATTGATCCTAAATACCTCTTCTTCTGAAGTGAGTATATTGTAGTGATTTGGGGTGAAGGATGTGTGTGTGTGTGTATTTATTATCTTCCTGCTCCGTTCTCTCCTTGCTTGTGAAAGCTCTTTACATACTATTTTATATATACACTGACAAGAGTGAGGGAGGTACATAGTTTCTAAATGTGATAAATAAATCAATTAGTTAAATCACAGAATGTGATTAGCTATGGAAGTTGACTCAAAAAGGGAAATATTATAATTATATGGATGATAAACGTTATTTCCAGTAGTGGAGACATTTTTGGGAATACAAGGAAAAAAATTATAGAAACAGTGAAATGGAGCTACAGAAATAAAAAAAGGTTTTGTTTTTTTTTAAGAATTGCAGTTTTCTGTTTCAGGTATTGGTTTCAGCCAGTGTAGATGGTAATCAGAAATGTTGAGAACTGACTTAGAAAATGTCTGGAAGGACCAAGATGTAATTCTTAAGGCCATCCAGAGGTGCTTTACTTACGAGAGGGGCGACATATATATTAATATAAATAAATAAATCCCCCAACCATTCTCTAGGGCAACTCAATTTTAAGTTGATGTAATAAGAGAATTAATAAGCCACAATTGCAGAAATGAGTGTTTTAGAAATATTTGACTGAAAATAGGCATATCTGTGTGTATGTATAATACTTGTCACAGATACAGAGATTCAAAACATTTTAATATGCTTTCATAAGTTACAAAAACTAATTCCTGATTAGTTTGGATGGGTTCTCTTTTACTTACATTTTTAGTAGTTGCTCAGCAGGGAGGGGTGGAAACTTCCAGACAGCTCGCCTTTGCTGCAGACAACTTGCAGCACCGTTTGCAAAATGGGACTTTTGGCGGGCTCAGCAGGGCAGAGACAGCCTGGAAAATTCCTATTGGCTTTTGAAAGCCAATAGAATTAGACTCTATTCAAGAGAGTCTATTCTATTGGCTTTCAAAAGCCAATAGAATAAAAGGGAGTAGCACAGCTAAGGAAAAGGGGAAAAAATGGTGGACTGCATTGTTCCGCGACCCCCGTGAAATGGTTGTTCAACCCCAAATGGGGTCGCGACCCACAGGTTGAGAACTGCTGCATTAAAGGAACTGAGAAATTAAGAATTGTAAAGTCTGATTTCCTTGTCTCTCAGGTAGCTAGTGCAATTTCATTGCCAAATGTAAGACAGAAATGACATTGGATAGGATGGGGGTGTTTCTGCAATAGATTAATACTGTCGTTCTTCCAGTGGTTTGAATTGAAGGACTGCATTATTAAGCTATAGCATTATTTTATTGGGAAGATTGTATGGAAAAAGGTTTTTTTTTTTTTAATTTTAGAAGATGCAGAACTTCTCATGTGAATGAAAGCTAAATTCAGTTGATTATCAATTACTTGCTTTTTTTAAAAGACCTTGTGAATTCTTGTGTATATATTCAGTATAGACAAAGTTTTTATTTCATCTGAATTTTTTCCCAAAACTTTCAAGACCAACTTTTTATTAAAATGTGTGCTGATACGCAGTTTCAGAGGCTAGCATCTTCTTTCTCCCTGCTTTAACTCTAATTTGACCTAGTATATACAGTTATACCTTGGCACTCGACTGCTTCAAAACTCATTGAATTTGGTATCCAACGGTTTTGCATCAGAAATCTTGTCCTGGTCTCATCTTTCTCCCAGTAGTTAACATGCAAGGAAGAACCTGTTGATGTTGGCTACTTTGTGACTATTTCTTCCAGCTGAAATAATGGGTCAAGTGAGAAGTCATGTGGTTTTCTCATGACTTACCCCATTGGTTTTAGTATTTGGCACATCTTCTGGAATAGTTTACTGATAAGGACCGAGGTACCATTAGTATATTTTGGAAGTTTGAATACATGTAGGAATCTCCTCTTTCCTAAATTTCAACTTTTACCAAATGCCATTGGATTTACCCTGCTGGTTCCCTTAAACCTTTTGGGTTCATAGGTTTTGTACCATAAATTTCAAACTGACAAATTTGGAGAGGAGTATTGGCTCATGTTACATCTTTGTAAAAACTGCTATGATGCTATTTAGAATGTAATCAATAATTGTACTGTATATAAATGTGTTGAAGAAGAGTAAAATATCTAATTCAAGTGATACTGCACATCAACTTACTTCATCATATAAATGTAAAAGATGCAGCTGAACCACAGTCAAGTTAATTGGACAACATCTCCCAACACATATTTGTTTGAATGTTGAATCTTACAGGTATTGTGACAAAAAAACAAACAAACCATTTTGTTTCAAACCGAGCACAAACCATTTTATCTTCAATTGACTTAAGTTTAGCAAAAACAACAAATTGTGTTAGTTCTAGGAGTCAGAGAAAGTCTATAAAGGCCAAGGGATGGGAAGGGATATAAAAAATGTGTGATTGAAACCCCACTTCCTTTTTAGGTATATGATGCAGGGGGAAATCCTGAAGTGTATTTTACAGGATGAATAGATTCCAACACAACATACCCCACTGTTTTTTTTGCCCCAAATCTTGCCAATTCTTTCTCTGCCCTCTTATCAGGGAGTGATGCCTTTATCCCCATCTAGAAGAAACAATCCTGGGAACACACGGGCATGGACAACATGAAACCAGCTGGTCCATGTCCAGAGCATTTTTTGTGTGGAACGTTTTGCACATTCCTACAGCTTACATATTCAGTTGGAAATGCAAGACAACCTAGTTGCTGTGCCAAAGGGAATTCACAATCGTTTATAAATAGATTTTTATTTTAGAAGTGTGAACAGACACATATATAAAATCACATTTGTATATTTTTATATCCAAGCATACTTGGAGTTCACATACCTATTTTCACAAAGGCAGTCAATGCAGGGCTCAAGCAAATGCACATATCCAGTCATAAAGACTGAAAGGTTTAATAAGGTTTGGAATAGATTATTCTGGTGAAAAATATGGCTTAAAAATGTTAAAAAGTAATTTGATTAGGTCTGTGAACCTGGGGATTGACCTCTAATCTCAATAAAGACTGTTATAAACAGAGCAGAGGGGAATGTAGTGTTCTAAAGGGAGAGAGAGAGAGAGAGAGAAGCACAATGCAATGGCTAATTAAGCATTTTATGTGCAGCTATGTAAACCAGGGGAAGTAACTTCCAAATTTATAACATGGAGAGTTTATTACAATTTTTGATGCCTTTGAAATACTGTTAGCCACTGCACAAAAACCCTTTTAAGTGTCAGAGCTTAAAAAAGATTTTATTCCCTAGGATGACTTTTGAAAACCTTCCTGTTTTCCTACCTTCCTTCTGAAAGTGATAGCACTTCAGTCTGCTCAGGTTTTGGGTACAGTGCCAAGAATGAGTCATGATCTAAAGCTGTCCATGTTTTGAGTTTCTCCTATTTTTCTTAATGAAAATCACTCTGTTCAATTGTTGCATAAAAATCATTCAGAGAAAATGTATTTCTTTATAAAGAAATGTACAAAAACAAAAGAGATTATTGAAATAAAGAGATTTGTCATTGTATATGATTGGTTGCATTGAAAATTCTCAAAATATGGAAATGAACTGTTTACTGTGTGCTTTTTTACCATCCTTATTGCTAAATATATTCTAATTCAGTGTCATGCATTTGTTAAAAACCTGCGTTGATCATACTGATGTATACTTGTGCTTTCATTTTATTGTTGTTCTGCTGGATTTCCTCTCCTAAATTTAATATAATACACAAATTATTTCTTCCTGTCTGAATCTTCCACAATAAACTGAATGTGTTACATATTGTTTCTTATTATCAGTCTGTATGGATACTAGATACATCAATAGATAAATCAATTGATAGATGTATGTATGTATGTATGTATTATGTATGTATGTATGTATTTATTTATTTATTTATTTTTGCATGGTTCCTTATCTGTATGAGTTGCTCATAGCTACTTCTGTAGTACAGATCACATTTGAAATACAATAAACATACACAATACTTTGTACAGAATTGGTCATCTGCTTTGGTAAGGAAAATGAAACAGCAAATTCAAGAAAGATTTATTGTTCTCCACCTGTTCAGTTCCCATCTATTTTTTCCTCTGTTGACGGAATATGCAGAATATCACTGCAGGCTTGTTGCCTAAGGATGGTAGATATCTTAACTTCTCAAGTATCTCCATCCTATATTTAGATTATTAGAATCTGAAAGTCAGCTGCTTTTCAGGCCCTGTTGCATATACCTATAAGAACCAATCAAACTTTCTGGCCAAGAATTCTAGTAGTGGTATACAATGAAAACAAGAAACTCAACTTTATGCAGAACATAAACACAGACTTCCTGTAACTGCCTAAATTCCTGAACTTAGAGCAGAAAGCTCATTAAAATCTCAGTGGTGTGCAGTGGCAATGGAGATAAAAATCTGTGTTCTTTGCTTTTCTTTAAATTTTCATCTACAAGTAGTCCTCGACTTACAACAGTTTAGTGACTGTTCAAAGTTACAATGGCACTGGAAAAAGTGACTTATGACCATTTTTCACACTTATGACCATTGTAGCATCTCCATGGTCATGTGATTTACATTCAGATGCTTGACAACTGACTCACATTTGTGATGGGTGCCGTGTCCCAGAGTCATGTGACCCCTTTTGCGATCTTCTGACAAGCAAAGTCAATTGGGAAACCAGATTCACTTAACAACCGTGTCACTAATTTAATAATTGCAATAATTTACTTAACAAATCTGGCCAAAAAAAGTCATAAAATGGAGCAAAACTCACTTAACAAATTTCTCATTTGACAACATAAATTTTGGGCTCAAATGGGGCCATAAAGTGGGGACTACCTGTATTTCAGTTGGCTTTCATAGCCATGGGATCTATAAGGCCATATACTGGGAAGGCCTTTTACCATAGTAGTAGTACATATTTTGGAGAATTTACTTCAGATTAAAGTAGTTAAATCTTTGGCTTCAGAATATACCTTACACTTTGTTATCTTTAATCCTGTTTTGGTGTTTGTTACATTGGGCACTACTTTGAGAAAAGAAATCCTTTGTATTAGAAATAAATACTCATGGACGCTAAGAAGTATATTTTAACATTAGAAAAAAGGTAACAGCAAGTAGTGTAAATACAATTTTATAAATCTGTGGTTTGGTGACATTAGATTAAAATTGTTCTTGCAAAAGTTAAACAAAACCAGTCCTTTATTTGATTATTACCAAACAGTATTTCATACAGGTTGGACGGCCTAATTTCAAACAAAGTGTGTTAAAAGAAGAAGGCCAGAAAAATTAATAAATGTAATCACAGGCTGTGAGTTTTTCTAACATGCTCAAGAAGTAATGGCCTTTATCACAGATAAGAAACCTCTGGAGAAAATTCAGTTGGAGAATTTGAATTATATAGCTAAAAAGCTTGGCAAGCTAAAAAAAAAAAAGAAATCTGTGCACAGTGTTATTAACCCTTAATAAGTGGTGAGAGGAATTCATTATTTAAAATGTCACTCATTCCAATTGATTTAAATAAAGGCTTAGAATAGCATGCAAAATAGATTTCCCTTTAGGTATCAAGTGAAACTGCTTATTCAGGTACACTGTACATCCATGGTGAGGATAGATCAACTGAAGATGTTTTCCACCAATGTGCTGGAACTTCTTGGAGGCTTCTGCTAAGCCACAAACTCAGGTAGATTGCTCTACCTAATCAATGGATTGCTTATACCATTGATTCAGTGCATCACTTCTTAAATTCATTTCCCACAATATTTGCTATTTCACTTTAACTCTTCCTCTCTATTGTCTTTTCACAGTATTAGTATATTAGCATTAAACTGATAATCCATTATTGCGTAAAAAGTTATTAGTTTCAGTTTATTGGGTATTTCCATGTTTCATTGTGTA